AACTTGGAGTAAGTGCTAAATTAGATGAAGAAGAAGGTGGAAGTGAAATGAGTGATCTTCTTTGTTTTGATGGTGGAAGTTCTAATCTTATTGGAACTACTTCTAAAAATGTTTTAGATTTTGATGATGATTCTTCAAAGAAAAATGATTCAATGAAAGATATTTTCTCAATTGGAAAACAAACTCTTCCAATTAATCGTTTAACAGCATTACCAAAAACACCAACTGATATGAAAGTTGACGCTTCATTAATTCATGAAGCTGGTAGTTTATTCTTACAATTAGAAATTACAAATAATAGTCCTTTAACAATGACTAATTTCCAAATGCAATTTAATAAAAATGTTTTTGGTTTAGTTCCTGGTCAATTAAATATTGATGCTATTCCTCCAAACAAACGTTGGGGTGCTTTACTTCCCGTTGGACTTATTCCTCCTGAAATTACAACTCCTGTCTCTTCTCGTTTAGAAGTTGCTATTGCTAATTCTACTCAACAAATCTATTTCTATATCCTTGAAATGCCAATCAGTTTATTAATGAAAGAACAATCTCAACTTGATATTGCTAATTGTGCTAATTTATGGAATTCTCTTCCAAATACTATGTCTAAAGAATATAAAGGCTCTGGACTTCAACTTAAACTTCAAAAATTATCTACTTTCATTTTAGTAGCTTCAAAAAAAGTTAATGACAAAGAATTATTAATGTACACAATTAAATTCCTTAATAACATCGATGTTATGCTTGAAATTACTTCTACTTCTAAAGGATATAAAATCCTTGCTAAATGCATAGATAAACAATATTTATCCTTTATTTTCAAATTCTTAGATGGGCTTTTTAATTAATTGATTCTTTAAGAAAATTAATTGGAATTCTTGTTAATATAATTTTGGTTAAGATAAATTGTTAATGAGGAGTATCCAATAATTAACATAATACTTTCTTTTTTTTTAAATATGTTTTTCTCGTGAAGGTATTTTAAATAAATGTTAGAAGGAAAGAAAAATGGTTAAGTTACTTTTTTTCTTTGTTTTATAATAGAAGATTCTTTTTAATTGTAAAAATAACCGTTAACTTAAGAACCTGTTTTTCTTTTTTGAATTAAGATGAAAATCATCTTTTTGTGAATTTATAATTAAAATTTTTTCAAAACTTGTAAATCATATAATGTCTTTCTTTCTATTTTTTATATTAATAAGTACTGTCTTCTCTTTAGAACAGTCTTCTTGTATTGTTTGTTGATTTAGAAAGAGTTACAAATTAAATTAACAGTTAATAGGATCGTGCATTAATTGGCAATATGAATAATATTGGAAAACAAGGTGATTTAACAATGAATTATTCAATTACTTATAACTGTTTTAATTCAATACCTAAACCCACTGAATATTCAATAGCTGCTTCTATTAACTCTCTTTGTTATGTCCATGAAAAATTGCAATGGATTCATAAAGGAAAACATATTATTTCAAGGTGTGGTGCATGTATGACTTTAATTGGACCTTCAAACACACCATTTCAATGTAGTATTGCAGGGTTTTTTAGTATGACTTCAGAGATTGTTGATGAAGATATATTTGAGAGTGTGATTCTTTTGGATGAACTTTTTTATTTTAAGATAGGAAATCGGTTTAATTCTTCTGCTGATTTATTCGTTCAAGTTACAGCGTATAGTGGAGATTGTAATTATCATCAAATTGCATCACTTTATCTTCTACCTAGTGATGATAAAACAACTAAATTTATGATTTTAAATTCTAATAGAATTCTTGAAAAAGTTGTTATTGGTAATCATGACTATTATCAACAAGATGACCACACCTTTGAAGTACCTTATATTAGTGTAGGACAATCAATTAGTCTTGTGGCTTTAAGTGGTGAACTAATCAATGCAGTTCGTCATGAGACAAGTTCTCCTGTTATCAAGCAGAA